GTCATCCAGGATCTGCAGTTCCTACTATCTCTAGCTTTGAACAGCTGCAGCAGGGCCATTTGTTGGCAGGTTGGTGCAGTAGGATTGATAGGAGTAAGGTGGCAGGAAGAAGAGCATGGCACGTACCCTGGTGGAGCAGTGAGGATCAGTTATCTTTTTTCTGCACTGCTGGCTGTTCCTCTGCACCGTGAATACAGCACTGAACTAGGTGATGACATCAGACCAGACTGGCTAGATCTGGTGGCTTGAGCTCCTCTGCTGGTCCTCTGGGAAGGGGTCTCCTCTGGGAAGGGGTCTCCTCTCTTTTGCACTGCCCTGTCAATCTGAACCTCCAACACTTTGTGCATATGTCCTTCAATGAGCAGGGCAGCTGTGAAATGCCAGTGCTCATTCTGGCCTTTTAAAGATTGTACGGGCACAAAGTATGGCCAAAGATATCCAGTGACTGGTAAGTTGTTCTGAGAATAGCACATTTATAAGATAGGGTGGAAAATAGATGGGAGAGATGCCAGAGCGCCGTGGAAGGTAATTAGGTTTAGTAAGATAAGGCAAGAAAGCTCACGAGGCCTTGCAGTGAGAAACCCTCCAAAACACTCAATGCAACTGTGATTTGGCAATAAAAATGTAAGCATCCCTGTCTTAAAGGGAGTGTCTAAAAACAGATAAAATGTTTAAGATATGGGGCTTCTCAGCAAAAGAGAGTGATGTGTTCATCAACTGCAGAAAAAGAGTAATTAATTAGTTGGTGTTGCTTACTATCATTTTTTCACCATTCTTCTCAATGTTATTGTTTTAAAAACCAACACTTTGATCACATTTCTTCAACGTTAACCCACTCCCTTTAAATTCTTTATGGGCATTTAAGGACTGATCATTCCAAATGTTCCCGAACCTGGAGATCAGAATCTCCAAATAAATGCAAAAAGGGTAGAAAAGTCGTAATTTCAAATGTTAATAATAGAAGTACAATGATTACTTTAAAAAAATAAGGATTACATGCATTAACTTATCAATTTTCACTGTGTTAATGTTAGGCTAAATCATTGACTGAAAGAATTGCATTTGAATGTATTAAGTTACTGATATTGCAGTGGGATTTCAAGTAGTTGTCGAGAGTAAATTTACAATGCAAATAGAATGATTGCTGAAAAAATATAATTCTAACCCATCAACTATATCCCCTGTAACAAAAATTGTAACAGGAAGTTTTTTTTTAATAGAACTTACTAGCTTATAACAATTATGGGGAGGCTGTCTTATGAGAGGCCGAGTAGATTGGGCCTGTACTCATTGGAATGTAGAAAAGAGGTGAGCTTATTGAAATGTACAAGAATTTTAGGTTCTTAGACAAGTTAGACGCAGAAAGGCAGTTTCCCATTATGGAAGATCCTAGGACCAGAGAGCATAATCTTACAATATGGAGGTTGCACATTTAAGATGTAGATGAAGAATCATTTTTTCTCTCAGGTTATGAATACGTAGAATTCTTTACCATAGAAGGCATTGAGGCTGGGTAATTAAGTACCAAGTAATTTAGTCGAGGCTGAGAAAGATTTTAAATTTGTAAGGGAATCAAGGATTATGGGGAATAGGCAGGAAAGTGGAGCTGAGAGTTATCAGATTAGCCACTGAATGACAGAGCAGATTCAATGGGCTGAATGGCCTGCTTCTGATCCTTAGTCTTATGGTCTTAATTGCAAAGAAATGATAAAGAAAATTTAGCTGTTTCATCAAGATTCTAGCACATTCTTGTCATAGATTGGCATTAAGACCCTTCCTCACTCATTGAATGTAGTGACAAAATCTGGAGGGTAAATGGGCAAAAATGGAAAGAAAGTCTGGAAAAGTCCTCTTAGAACTCCTTGTGTTCAGACCAAACTAAGAGACCAAAACAAAAGCAAAAATGTTGTGAATGCTGGAAATTGGAAACAAACACAGAGAATGCTGGAGAAACTCAGCAGGTCTGGCCGCATCCATGGAAAGAGAAACAGAGTTAGCGTTTCAAGTTCCGAACTGGAGTTCCAGCATTTTCTGTGTTTGTTTTGGAAACCAAAAGCTTCATTTCAGACTTAATAATTTACCCGAAGTTTTATTTACCTAGTTGGTTATGAAGGTGGATGTACTGGTAATACTCTATATCCTTGTCTTGGTTGAAGAAATTCTTGTACACATGACGTGCTCCGAACAGCCATATATCACTATCATCAGTGATAGTTCCACTAGTTTGGTCGGTCAGATCTAGGTAAGCACATTGTGCTTCTGCCTCCATGGGAGCAACAATATAAGGAATACCAAAGAGTCGCAGCATTTCCTGTAAACAGCATAATCCAAAATAAATAGTAAGCAGCAATTAATTTAAACTTTCTAACAAGTGAAAAGGTAATAATTCAGATTTCATTACCAGTCTGAAAAGTTTGAGAACATGCATCATAAAAATCTATACTTCCATTGTAGAAAGCTTTTGGCAGAGTTTGCATTCATTTTCAGTGATATTAAACATTTAACATCATATCATTGGAAAGCATTGTAAACTGCTAGTGACAATTGGAATTTCAAAGCTTTTGTGGAGAGATTTACAGTGATATCATCACTTCATACAGTCAGTAGAAATAGGAAGAAAATTCAACTTTTTCAAGATTGAGGTAAAAACATTTTCTACCTGAAGTTTATCTTTTTGGTTCATTTTATTTTAGGGCAAAATTAATTTGAAAAATGTAAATATAAAGAGTTTTGATTTAGAAAAGTAACACTTTTCGTCTGAACTGCCTCAACGATGGAGAGGTATTCAACTTAGCCAAAGCAACACTGGAGCCCAGATTCTGGAAATTCTGTCCTCAGATTGGTTACCCACCAGTTTTGTCAGGTTTTTTTTTAGAAAGGAAAAGGAGAGGTTCACAGTGGTAGCTGTTTGTGTTAAGGTGGCGCTGCCTATGAAGAAATCTGATTTTTGTTAATGGGTTGTCCGAAGCACGACCTGTATACACACACTTCTCAGGAGAAGGTCTAAACATACTAAAGTCATTCGAAGAGGTAGGCTACGTTTTTTGGAGACATAGGGTTTGTTTTTGTATAGGTTCAGGGACACCTTTAGGGAGGTTGTGACATTTGAGACCGGTTGAGTGCCCTTCAGAATTGTTAAAAGTAGCATAAATGTATGCAAACCCAAAGCTGCAGAGAGTTAAAAAAGTGCCTATTCACTGTCTGTTAAAATTTACCCGAGAACTGTCATTATAGGATTTGTGCTGCACGACTGATTTCACAACCTGTCATTATCACAGTGGGGTGCCTGTCAGCTCACTGTTTGATGGAGCACTTTAAGCTCATAAAATCTTCCAAGTAAAACTATGACTACAAAAGTTTAATTTAATAAAAGATCAAGTAGTTGAAGGAAGTTAAATGCACAGAAAGTTATTTCATTCATGGGCGTTTTGTTCAAACTGAGAGTTCATGGCAAGACTATTGGAACGTTTTTTATTTAATCTCAGCATGGATCGTGTCCATGGTAGATACTGGGTGAGTTTACATGGAGGATGCAAGTGCAGACGATGATGGGTGTGAGGCATTGATTGGCATTGGGCTTTAAAGAGTTGAGTTGGATTTAAGGGCTTCAGTTGCCATGGAATGTATCAAGACCATGAATGATAGAGGGCATAGAATGACATGACAGGTAAGGGAGCTATGGGATGTGAGATTGGAACACGAGGTCACATGGGTTGACCTGATGGAGCTTGTGGAGTGTGTATGGAATGATTAAACTTGATTAAGCTTCCTCCACAATGATTTAAATGCAATTTTTATTGCCTGATTTTACTTCCTCATTCAATGCCTGCACGTCTCATTGAGGATTCTTCAGTCTAATGAACAGCCCACTTGCTCACAGACACTACACCTCTCATGTTCAAATTCAAACATAGGCCCAAATAACGGAAATATGAACTTACATGCCCAACAAATGACTGTGGAAAACTGTAAATGATCACTGCAAAGTTCAGACCATTATTCAGGAAAGGGCAAAAGGCAGAAACTTAAAATAAACAGCATATAAGCAACACAGTTATATTGTGATTGGCTCTACTAATAGAAGAACAAAAATGAACTGAAATTTCTACCTAACATTTTGAAAGCAATATCTGGTTTCAGCTTATGCATTCGATCATTAATTAACCAAAGCTCATTGTTTTACCTGACTGTCCAAGTACATCTGTCCTGTGACAGTGGTAGCAATACGTTCATATTGTTGCTTCTGAGATTGCAGATCCGACTGTTCTATAAGCAAGTCTTTCTCAAAATCCTCAATTTCACCCTGTAACATACAAGAAACATAAAAAGCAATACAGGCACAATCAGTCAAAAATGATAAAAAAACAGAAATTGCTGGAGAAACTCAACAGGTCTAGCAGCATCTCTGGGGAGAAAACTGAGTCCAGTCACTCTCCATCAAAACTGAAATGATCAGAAATTATGGTTGATTTAAGGAACTTAAAATGTAATGCTTCATTTTCTTTAAAAACAAACCTGCAGATATCACAATGTTGTTTGATAAACAGTGCATCAAGTACCATATTTGAATGACTCTCTCCAGCTTCTCTGATATTTCTGGGACACAGACATAGACAGTGGCAGACAGCAGACATTTAACTGCTCTCAGGCCTCTAACAGTGTTGCTCTAAAATTAACTGACTTCGAGAAAATAGTCTGTTAGCGGCCTAGGGTGACTTTTCCTCTAAGTTAGGCAACTTGCAAGAAGGCTTGCTATCCCTAACAAATAGCACAGATAAAATCAGAAACGCAACTTCGTCTAGGACAGGATCTAAACCATTACATGTGAACTAAATTATTTGGTCCACCATCCAACTTCTACTCCTACAGACACTGTTATGTACCCTGTCCAGGATTATGTTGCTCAGCCTGAACTTCGATGCTAGCTATTCTTTGCTGCACTAAGTGTCTACATATTCTAAAAGCTGCATAAAACATCTCAGGAACTTATAGAGAGCCTTCAATCCATGATAACATGCCAATAATATGTCATCTTGAGTGCATTGGCTACACATAGGAACTTCTCAATCAACAGCATTGACTGAATTGTCTTGGGAATGTTTGAAGAAACAATTTCTGGAGAAAGCACATTAATTTTTTGTCAACTAATATTTTTCTAATACATATTATTTCTAAAGGGGGGAATGGAGGAAAGAGTCAATGCATATGTTTCCCAAATCTTATGGTTTCCTTGAATTACCTACTTCACTCCAACCAAGTGTAATGCCTTTCTCAGCCGCAGACATCCCAAGGCACTTTAAAGCAATTCATTATTTTTTTTTTGAGTATGGCCACTGCTTTAATATGGAGAAAAATCAACAACTAACTGGCATAAAACAAAGCGTCACAAACAGTAATGAATGAAATACCCAGTTAGACTGTTTGAGTGATGTTGGTTGAGGAATAAATGTGGGTCAAAGCAATTGCCTTGGTCTTTCCCAAACAGCACCTTGGGATCTTTTATGTTCAACGTAAGGATCTTGGTTTAATGTCTCCAAGTCAGTTTTTGGACAAAATAAAACAAAACATTAAGGTCAGTTCAACTTTACCAGATCTAGATCCTTCCAGTCATCTCTTGTGGCTTCTCCTACAGATGTCTGTTCGTGTTGGTCTACCTCCACATTCATCTTTTGTTCGCCAGCAGCTTCCAAATGATTTTGGATAAAAACTTCTGTTTGTTTCTCGGTAACACTCTGTATAGTTTCTGAAGTGGCTTCCGCATTGCCCTTAGATGCTAGTGTGGATTCAACAGCTGGCATCGAGGGTGTGAAGATATCAGCAGGAAACAGTTCACTCTGAAGGTCCACTTTGCTGGTGTCAATAACAACTTCAATGAAGCTACCTGAACATCAAAATAACAACATTTGGACATTGAAAGGGGGAAACTGGGAACAGAATGATATTAACTGAAGTCAATTATTTTCACATACTGTATTCATGCACTTTTGCATGTAGAATACAGAGTACCTCATCATTGACTGAGGCACCTGTGGTATATGTGGAAAGGCAGATTGAGAGAGGGATACAAAGAGTTTACAGAGGGATGTTGATTGGTTAATTAAGTGGGAAAATGTTGACAAATGGAGTATAATGTGGGAAAATATTAAGTTAACAATTTGGAAGGGAGAACAAAAGAACAGAATAGTATTTAAATGGAGAGAAACTGCAGAAAGCTGCAACACAAAGGGACTTGGGGGGACTTGTGCATGAAACACAGAAAGCAAACACACAGGGGCAGCAGGAAGGTTAACGAAGAGTTGACCTTTGTTTCAAGGGGTTTGGAGTATGAGAGTAGGGAAATCTTAGTGCAACTGTCTAAGGTGCTGGTGAGACCACATCTGGAGTACTGAGAGCAGTTTTGGTCTCCTTATTTAAGAAAATATATTATTTCGTTGGTGGCAGTTCAAAGAAGAGTCACGAGGAAGATCTGTCATATGGGGGGATTTTCTTATGAGCAAAGGTTAAACATGTTGGGACTCTACTCACTGGAATTTAGAAGAATGAGAGGTGATCTCATTGAAACATATCGGATTCTTAAGGTGCATGACAAAGTAAATGCTGAGAGGATGTTTCCCCTCATGGGAGTGTCTAGGACCAAGGGCACAGCCTTGGAATAAAGGGGTGCCAATTTAAGGCTGAGAGGAGGAGAAATTTCTTCTCCGAGTGTTGAAAGTGTTTGGAACTTCTTGCCACAGAGAGCTGTGGGGTTAGAGTTATTGCGTATATTTAAGACCGAGATAGATTTTTGATTGGTCGTGGAATCAAGGATCACAGGGAAAGGGCAGGAAAGTGGATGTGAGGAATGTTGAATCAGCCATGATCCTCTTGAATGATGGAGCAGGCTTGAGGGGTTAAATGGCCTACTCCTGTTCCTATTTCATATGGTCTCTGGTCTAATAGCAGAAGCTGGACGTAACAGAACAAGTGGCAGTTTGATAACAATATTTAGCACCTTTCTTGATATAAATACCCAATGTCCAAAACTAAGCAATATCACAGAATTACTGAGAAAAGACAAAGAATGCTAAAGTGAGGTGCATGGGAATGTGGTGCAGAGGGAAAATGAAGTTGTTTTTAAAAAGTAAAATTTCATATAGTGTTAATGTTTGTAAGGATGTGTGAGTGAGTGTTCCACTCCTCTAATGCTCCCAACAACTCATTCCCTCCTATGGCACCTTCCCATGCAATCACAGAAGGTTAACACTTGCCTTTTAATTCCTCTCTAAGGCCCTAAACACCCTTTTCACGTGAAGCAGCAATTCACCCGTACTTCTTTCAATCTAGTCTACTGCATTTTCTGCTCACAATGCATTCTCTTCTACACCGAGGAATGCAAATACAGACTGCATGACCACTTTGTAGAACATCTTTGCTCAATCTGCAAGCATGATCCTGACCATCTGGTAACTTGGTAATGCACCAGCTTGCTCTGCTGCTCACATTTCTGTTCTAGTTCTGTTGTAGTATTCCAGTGAAATCTAAACCCAAACTGAAGGAACAGCACCTAATTTTCCCTTTAGGCATTTGACACCCTTCTAGGCTCAACACAGTTCAATAACATCTGTGAACCCTATATTTCACTTTATTTCCCCACCTCTCTCTTTGGTTCTGAAGAAGAACCATATTGGACTTGAAACATGAACATTGTTTCTCTCCCCACAGATCCTGCCAGACCTGCTGAGTTACTCAAGAACTTTCCGTTTTTACTATTATACAAATTCAGATATTTCCTATAAACTAACGGGCGTGATTTGATCAAAGTTTGCAAAACAGCAAATAGAAGAAATATCAAGGACAAGGCTGGGAGAAATATTTTCTGTTAGTTGGAGATGCATCAAAAAAAAAGCTTGATGGAACATTAATTTTAAAACAGAAATTCTTGTTGACCAAAGGTTTTTGTAATGTTGATCATAGGCAGGGATGTTGAGTTAGGTCATATATCAGCTATAAGTCTCAATGAACAGTGGAACATGCTCTAGGAACACGACGACCTCCTCCTGTTCCAGAGTCCTTATGTAAAACCCAGTTCATGAAAATCACAAACTCAGAAAGTGTGGTCAGCTGAGTAAATTATCACTCAGCTATACAAAACACCATTATCAAATTAAAATTTTAACGACAAAGTTGAGAGCTTGCAGCAATTTCTTGTAATACATCACATCTTCTTAACTCTTTAAGCCCTTTAGATCTATACCATAGTCTTCGGCTTTTCATTTGAATTCCTCAATTTTTAAAAAAAAAGTTACCATCGGAATCACTTCCGCCTTCACTCTTAGTGGACATTTCCTGATGATCAGTTTCTTCTCCTGAACCTTGATTCTCTTTGGCTGAAGAAATGAAACTCTTGAGATCCAAGTCTCCTTTTAACTGTGTGTGGGGCGTCAGTTTTACACTGCCAACATGCTGGCTGCTGGTAGCAGTCTCAGAAGATGAAGGATGATCCATCTTCAGAATTTCTCGATTGTTTGTATTGTTATTTTCTAAGTCAGCTGCTCCAAGTGGATGAATGCGTTGCTTGCTGTTAAGGATTATTCCTCTATCATTTTCCAAGGAATGCATTTCAGCATGATCTTCACGCTCCTTCAAATCATCAGGAAATTGAAAGTCTAGCTTCTTACTTTTCTGTTTCTCATTAATTACATCAGCTGTACCTATTACAGCAATATTGATGTTCTGTTCCACTGCACTGACTTTGATCGGACTTTGATCTTCTGCAGGAAATATTTCTTGCACTTCACAACTTTGAATAGTTCCTGGTCTTATCGGTGTCTTCTGGATAGTCTGTGGATTGAATGATTTTTCCAGTAACTCATTTTCACCAACACTTAGTTCCTCTTCTATATGCGCATCATTTGAACCGTAGGTCTGAATCCTTTGATTTTTAGTATTATCATATTCAGTTTTGCTATCCTCTTGCACATTGTTTGTCATGTCTTTTTCTTGTAAACCTTGCTGGTTTGCATGATGAGTTTTTGCTGATGAATTTAAATTTGTGGCAGCAATATTTGTTGAATACAAACTGCTGCTACACTCAGCAGCAAATGAATTGTTATCTCGTCCAAAGTCAATTTCCTCATCTGAACTACTCTCCAACATGGCAGCCTGAATGGCAAGCACAGTCCGTGGGGAAGGAGGAAGAGCAGCACTGTCATTTGGACTTGTGGATGCTGTTTCTGTGACAGGAGAAGGTGAACGAGAATCGTTACGGGGCTCCAAACCAGTGTTTGAGATTACATCTGCAGCTGTCGAATTTGTATTTTTTCCTAGCGTAGTAATTTGCTGATTTGTCTCTGCATCCTCACTGCTCACTGGCTGAATTCCTGGAAATTAAAGAAATGCACATTGGTTACAACATGCAATCTCAATTCTGGCATACAGGCGTAAAGAATAAGCATATTCCACTTCAAGCTCAGTTAATTATCCTAGCACATTCTTTGTGTAATTACAATGAAGGTTATTTATTAGAGTCACATAACTTCAATAAATCTAAATCAGATTCAACCAGATTAGCTCTGCTATATTGCAGGCTATTGCAAAGGTAAAATACAAAATAGAGGAGAAAAGTGTTAAATTTTGATTTTATGCTACTTATTCCTATAATTGGGATCTATTGGTTTTTGATTAAGAAATGCTATTTTCATTGTCGATGTGTAATGTTTACGTTAGTGCCGACCGATGACACTTAACTAAAAGGAGCTAATAAATTTGAAGACTTGATTTTCTTTTCTGGGTATTGATATTAGAAAGTATTAATATCCACCCACCATGTCACCACACCAATTACCCTGGATCCTGGCACCTCAATTTCCATTCCCAGTTTCCTCGTCAGGGGGGCACAGGCAGGAAGGATCCTGCCTCCACAGACTCAACACGTCCCATTTTTGATGGGGTTGGGGTGGGGAGGGGGCTGGGCTATATCAGGAGTCAAGCTTTACCATTCATAATGTGCAGGGGGTGTTGCTGCTTCCTGACACACGCACAGTGTAAGCCCGGATGGGGTCTCCAAAACTGTGGCCAAGAAGTTAAGAGTAAAGATTAAAACAAAAAAAAATCCGTCCTGCTCCAATCCTCTCTCTCTCCAAGCTGCATCTATTACAACCAATGCCACCTAATTCCCTGCACCTACTGCGTGGCCCCTTATCCTCCCTATATCAACACAAGTCCATGTAATCATCCCCCATGGCTCCACATACTCTCATGCTACCCTATGCCTATTCCTATCTCTCATGGTCCCTTATGCTCCCTATACCCCAATCATTTCCATGGACCTATTTGGACCTTGTGCCAACTCAGACCTTCCCACCCAGCACCCTTTGCCCTTCTATCTTCATGCCAACTCACCCGAGCATACCTCAGGAGAAAGGCTAACAATAAGTAAAGTCTATTGATGGTGTCACTATTGAAAAGATTGATTCAAAATAAACAAATACGTTGAAATCCCTTCAACTAATCCCTTAAGAAACAAATAATTCACTTAAGTGCTCAATCCCTAATGTAAACAGATATCTCTGTAATAAATACGTGGAACTGTCCATTACAATGTTCAGTTGATAGACTCCCCATTGTGAAAATTATAGTTCCGAAAATCAGTAAAGCAGCTGAAATAATCAGTACTGTTTTATTTTTTAATTCCATAAATTGTTGGACAAATCTTTTAACAAGTTTGGCAGTCCTAATCATCATCCCGCTCATCAGTAAAGTAATGCAGTGAGTCGGTGACAGTGATATCAAGCAGCATTTGCTCAGCAATAACCTGTTTTTTGGCACTTTGCTCAGTTTCCACCAAGGTCATTCAACTCCTGACCTCATTGAAGTATCAAACATGGACAAAAGAACTGAACTTCAAGGGTGATGTGAGATTATTGCCCTTGACTTGAAGGCATCACTTGATTGAGTATGCCATCAAAGAGCCTTAGCAAAACCCAAGCCAATGTGAATCGGAGAAAGGAATGCTGAGCTGGTTGGCACAAAGGAATATGTTTGTGGTTGTTGGAGGTCAATTGTCTTTGCCCTGATCATCCCCACAGAAGTTCCTCAGGATACTGCCCTTCAGCTACGTCATCAATGACCTTCCAAACATCAAAGTCTGAAATGGGGATATTACTGAACATTGCTCATTCATAACTCCACAGAAACTGAAGTAGTCCATGTATACATCATTAAGATGTGGACAATATCCAAACTTGGGTTGACAAGGCAAGTAACATTTGTGCCAACCAAGTGCCAGGTAATGGCTATCTCTAACAAGAGAAAATCTAACTATCTTCCCTTGATGTTTGATGCCATTACCTTTGACAACCCTCCACCATCAACATGCCGGAGTTACCACTGACTATAAACTGAACTGTGTCAGATTTGTAAATATTGTGGCTATAAAACGAGTCAGAGGGGAGGAATTCTACATTGAGTAACTCATATACTGTCCATTTAAAAGACACAAATCAGAAGTGACTGGAATGCAATACTCTCCACTTGTATGACTGGGTGTGGCTCTAACTTTCAAGAAGCTCAACACAATCCAGGATAAAGCAGCCCCACCACCTTCAGCATTCATCCTGTTCATCATTAATGCACAGTGGCAGCAGGGGTGTATCATCTACAAGATGCACTTCAGAAACCTACCAAAGCTCCTTGGACAGCACTTTCCAAAGTGGTAACCTCTACCACCTATAAAGGACAAAGGCTACAGCTGCATGGGAACATCACCACCACCACCATCACCAGTACCACCACCGAGTTACCCTTCAAGCCATACATCACACTGACTTTGAAATATGGGTCAAAGTCCCAGAACTCCTTCCTAACGGCACCGTGAGTGTACCTACGCCCCAAGGATTGCAGCAGTTCAACAAGGTAGATCACGATAAACTTCACCAGGCCAAGTATGGGAAATAAATGCTGGTTTGGCTAGCAATGCCTATATCCCATGCACAATTTCTAAAAATGCATTTATACCCACATTTTACACATAAGGAATTCCACTTTTCACAATTCCAAAGGGTGCCTGTTATAAAGTGGAGGTTGACCCCCCTCTCAGAACTAACACTGAAACACCCAAAGAGGAGTATCTTGCCCTATAATCTGTAAAAGGAGTTTGAAAAGTGGTGTAACCTGCCTTTCAGCAACTTTTCATGGTTAAAATAAATCCCTGACACTCAGTTTACAATCAATAAGTAACAGTTTATTTATCTAACTCTAACAGTCAACAAATTAACTAAACTATTAACAAATTGAATAAATCCCTTCTAACTACCAACTATTCCCGAATAAAACAAGATTCTAATCGTATGCTGTTCCAATAAATACAAGTCCCACTTATACATAAAATAATCTAGTCTCTCGAAATTACAGCCAGGTTACATGCCTTGCGGAATGTTCAGTGCCTTCTCCATCAATTCTTCTGTCAGGAATATTAACTAATTTTGCCATGGGTATCTTTGATGTTTAGACAGTGCTTTCTCTAAGACAGAGTAGGCTGTGAGAGCCAGCGATTCTCTCTCAATGGCTGAGGGCTATTAACTTTGGCAGATGGCAATTAGCTCTGCTCCCTTTGTCCAACTGCCCCTTCTTTTCTACTCTTGATGACATACCAATTTTTTACAATATGATCGGTCCTACATTGTCAAAACTATCAGATTTAAATTTAATTGGTTTTTGGTATCTAAGTGCCTGGTACAAATTGATTAGCTAAATTCAAAACCCTGTTGTCTTTGTGAAAACTGTTGCTTGGCCTGCTAACTGTGAGGCCTTTGATTCAAATGTTTCATTTCGGGTGCTCTCTGTGTACTTGCAAACTTTCAAGCTGCTGCTCACAAACGTCCATTTAAATTTATAAGCACAGAAAAAGCAATCATTTTTTAAAGGCTCCACGCAATGCTTTTCCCCCAGCATTGTACAAATGCCAAATTCTAACTTCCAGCCTCCTAATCCACAAGTACTTTACCCAACTTCACGACAGTGCCTTATCTCCAGCAAAGGAGTTACAAGACTAGATCCAAGGGGGTACCTGACCTCTCCAAATAGGTACCATGGCTATCTGAAAGAAATACATTGAGTACAGACCTGTACTTGGTCTAATCTCCAAACTCAGGGTTCCAAAATCCACTTTCACTGGAGGCAGTTGGTCATTCAAAAATTTAGCTACCTATGGGGTTCTGAACTTGTGTGAATTATAGAATACCATCAACCTTGCACACAGACAGACTCGCACACAGACACAAACACCACCCCAGATCCTGCCCTGTGTGAGAAAGAGAGCTGTTGAGTACAGGGGTGGGACTTAGAATTCCAGTTTTTTTTTTTTCTGGTATTTTTGCCACAGTGGAACCCTCTGTCATTTCGAAAATCTGGGCTTTAGTCAATAAAATTTAGGATAAATAATTAAGTATCTATTGATTAGGTGCTTCTATTTGAAAACTGCTAAGGTCAAATGTCTCTAATAAACATTAAACATGTAGGAACATTGGAACAAAACATATTTTCTTTTTAAAAAAAAGTGACAATTTCAGCAAAGTAAAAGATCTGGAGAAAGTATGTGTGAAAAGGATCTCAGGAGCAGTTTCTTTGTGCACATTCATGAAAAAACACTGCCAAAAGTGTAAAATAAAATAAAATTACTAATATTTGGTATTCACACATTTATAGAATTCAATTCACTGTACCTTTTATCAGAATATAGTGTGCAGCATCTTCTGATATAAGCTGCCTAGTTTCCATGTTCTTTATGAATTCCCCCTCATTATTACACTCCATCTGAATTTGCCCGCAGTACTGTTTACTCATTTCTTTCTGAACGCCGTCAATATGTTGGTTAATTCTGTTGCGTTTAAGGAGGCCAGTCAGCTGATACCAGGAAAAATCTGTTGACTCCTTTGAAAAAAAACATATTAAAGGGTTACTAAAACACAGTTCTGCTTAGATCTAATAAAAAACTTGAAGTAAAGAATTATTTTCCCTTAAGTCATCAGCTGATTTAACACATATAATTCACATACTAGTTGATTACTTTTGTTAAAAGTACTACTGTGCCACCATAACTTATCTTCTATCAGTCATGCCCCTATTATGCTGTGCTTCTCCTGACAGGGGAGTAGAACATTACTTGTTGCAGAAAGTTATGGCAGGCATGTTGCAAAAGCCTCAAACAACATGAAATACAAGCTTTGTTTATAAAATACCACCATAGACTCAATGGGCTGAATGGCCTACTTCTGTTCTGATGTCTAACGGTGTCATGGAAGTGATACACATGAATTCCAAGCATTGCTGTGTGATTCTAAACTCTTCTTATCTAACCATCAGAGTGACTGCTTGAATATTTTTCAAAAGTCCTAATACTAAATTTTACAAAACCAAGCTATTAGTATAGAGCCTCTTTAGTTGAAGCATGTTGAAGATAAATCTGCAAAATTACAGCCTTGATTTGTCAACCCATATTCACGGCTAGCAAGGTTCACTCCTCTGTTGTAGAATCTTATGAAGCTATCCCTTAACCGCCTTACTAGCATACTGTGTATAACTGACACCTGCTGACATTCATATCAACAAATGAATAAACACAACCTAATTAATGCTAACACAGTGTGGAGCTGGAGGCACACAGCAGGCCAGGCAGCATCAGAGGAGCAGAAAAGTTGATGTTTTGCATCAGTCCCCTTCTTCAGAAATGGGGCTCTTCTGAAGAAGGGTCCTGCCCTGAAACATCAGCTTTCCTGCTCCTCTGATGCTGCCTGACCTGCTG